TTAAATTCATGCTCTGTTTAGTTCTGTTAGTCCTGAGTTTTCAGAGGCGAGCGGTAAAAATATTTGAATTAGCACGGCTTTGCTTGACGTCTTTTCACATGATAGCAGCTGTACGCTAATTACAGCAGCAATAAAACCCAGAAACACGTCCATCCTTTGAAAGTTATGGCTCTAAGTACAGTGCATTAGAATAGAGGCCTGAGTGAATTGTTTAGTGGCATCTTTGTGTGAAGTTTGAACGGCTTCCAGTGTGCAGTCTGGTCCGTGTTCTAAAGGTTTTACACAGAGAATAATTTAATGAAGGATTTATGGGCAATTCTGAGAAATATGGAAATATAAATGTACTTAAAGCCTCAACCAATGAGGCTTTAAGACTTTGGTTTTATTTGGCATTTTCTGCATCTATAACAACCACCTCTGAGAGCTGACTGATTAGGATTGGTTCTGTTTAACTCATGGGGCAAAACTCCAGACCACTAGGTGGCGATACTTTATCAACAGAGTTGGGCGGGTTTTGCAGCCTGTTGAGCAATGAACGTCATAACCAATAAAAATGTATCTTATGCCAAGATCGACTTCAGCGGCTGCATCTTCCAAACATTTGAAGGCCGAGCATACGCGCAGTGAAAGCCGGAGAAGGCTGGACCTGTTTGAATCCTCAGCCAAACTCTTCCAGCCTCCTTATTTTCATGGACCTCCAAGGATCCAGGTAGAGCGGGTCCTTGGAGGACGCTGCCTCTGGAATCAAATCCATTAGCCTGATTAAATTGTGAGTAAAAAGTGAAACCTTTGCTGGTTCTGTTCACGGCTGCCGATGCAAACTTTTTTATTTATAATATCTTCGCTGCCACTGTGAGATTATTGCTTGAACACAGAACTTAAAATCATCTTTTGGTGTAAACTACATCTTTTATAGAGCCGACTGTGGAAACGCACATTTGGAAAAAGCTGACAAAACTTTTCCAACTCTGTATTTTTCATTGAAAAAACTATTAAAAGAGTAAAGGTCTGTCTCTCTGAGCATCATTTCTGTACCGTGCCGTATGTGTGTGCGTAGATAAGAGGCAGAGAGCTAAATTTCCAGCATGTTTTTTGTGCCCTGAGCTGCTGCTTACATAAACTCAACCTGAAGCACATAGTAATGGATGCTGTCTCATGGCTGCTGCTGGTACTGGCTCTCTGTAGCTGTGTAGAAATCCTCCAGGACGCTCTGCAGGTAATCGAAGGTGGGGCGGTCCTCTGGCTTGTTCTTCCAGCACTCCAGCATGATCTCATAGAGTTCAGTGGGACAGCTGTCGAGGCGCTGCATTCGGTAGCCTTTCTCCAGGGAACGGATCACCTCTGGATTGGTCATTCCTGCAAAACAAGAAAAAACTTTCAGCCTTTCTCACACCTAATAGAAGTGGACTCAATCGGGACGGATTCCTAAATAAAAAGTGTAAAGGCGGTGCCGTCACCTGGGTATGGCGTGCGTCCATAACTGATGATCTCAGTCAGCAAAATCCCAAAGGACCAGACGTCGGATTTTATTGTGAAGGAGCCATAGTTGATGGCTTCAGGGGCCGTCCATTTGATCGGGAACTTGGCTCCTGTTCATGGAAGACATCAAAATCAGTAAACCTCTGTTGGTATTGGTCAGGCATTCAGTGCACAGACAGGGATGGATGTGGTGAGTGATTGAAGCAGGGATGAGATCCTCGTTCTGCAGCGTGTGGAGAGAGGAGACCTACCCTCTCTGGCTGTGTACTCGTTGTCCTCAATAATTCGAGCCAGGCCAAAGTCAGCGATTTTGCACACTAAGGACTTATTGACCAGGATGTTGGCAGCTCTCAAGTCTCTGTGGATGTAGTTCTTCTGCTCAATGTATGCCATCCCTTCTGCAATCTGAAAGCAAGACATTTAATGTTAGTCAGACAAATCCTACAGAACCAGCCATTCAAAATGGCAGCCCACTATCCTGCAACTCCCAGCAGAATCCCCTCCAACTTCCAGCCACTGCACTGCCCCCCTCTTGGATATTTTTCTACTCTGACTCCACCCTTTCACTGAATTACAGGGTCTGACCAGGAGATCGCGCTTCTCTTTAAATCTTAATGTCCACAAATCATGACAGAAAGAATATTTTATTACAAAGATTGATGTTTAACCTCTTAAAACCTCTTAACACCTTAAAGGAATAGTACCCCCAAAACATGATTAGCCTTCATTTTCTACTCACCCC